GGAAAGTACTCGGTCGAGTACTTTCCGAGTACTTTTCTCCTTAAAACTTAAATTTTACACAACTGGGAGTGTCTGAAGTCTAACATTTATTTTGTAATCTTACCTTTGTCCATTTACCATCAAATGCCTGTGCACTCTGGCTTTATTCCCTCTTACCCAGTTCAGTATTTTGCGGAGAACGTTGGTACTGGGAAAGTACTTGACTACAACACTGCTGAAAGGATATGACTTCAGACTTAAGTTCAAAACCTCTAATAGTGACTTAAGATTAAAATCTTCACGAGGACACACACAAATCTTACTTTTAGAGGTTCACCCTTTGTCACAATATATTTGTAAGTACTGTAGCACTGTACCTGACGTTGTTCCCCAGTGATATTAGACGTAAGACATCATCAACTGATGAGACTGACTTCTCTTGTAGACCCACTACTTGCACAACCTGTTTGCCATCCTCTAGAACTTTCAGTTTTGCCTTCTTGTTTAACAAGTCAAACACCTACATCCCAAAAAACAATTTTGTGGAGATTGTGAAATTTAACAATTTGAAAAGGGCACTTCAGAAACAGCATTAAAACCTTATCTTCAAAAAATGAATACGAAATTTAGACCCGAGTCCTTGGGCACAGATTTGCAACTCTGAACAAAGGAAACCTAATAATGCCCAACTTTTGGATTGAAACAGAAGTTTTAAGGGGTAAAAAGATCTTTAAAGAGCAATTACTTTTGTTGTACATGTCTATTCCGACTACTGAGTTGTGCAATTTCTCAAGAAAATGTTTTGTGCAATACTTCAAACTGAAATTGCTTGGCTTGCTTCAAGAAAAGTTTTCCTTTAAATTTAAACTGATTTCAAACTTGGCTGACACTGAAGATGGCATTTCCACTTTATGAAAGTGTTGGAGAATGTTTTAGCAACCGAATGAAGAAAGGTGGATTAATTTCCTTTTATTCTTGGCACTCAGGTCTCAGTTTGACCCAGTTTGAAAATGAAGGAAAAATCTCTGTTAAAAATTGAATTGTGGCCCCAAACTTGGCTCATGTAAAAGAGGTCTTGGTCCCCAAAAAGTTTGGAGTTTTTTCAATTAAATAGTGAGTTGGTCTGCGTATTTTTTCCACACTTGGGGTGCCAGTTTAAGTCCTGACCTTGCCACTGTAGATCTCAAAGAAACTACAGCTGACCACCAGGTCCTTCTTGCGGTGTTCAGCTTTGTTATAAAGCTTGAAGACATCAGTTGCTGCCATTGCATAGATTCCCTTGGTCACATCCTGGTTCTTGCCGTTGAAATTACCTCCCATGGTCTGAAAGGAGGATGTAAACAGAATCGCACGATAGAGTGAACACTGCCATTTTGTCGCCATGTCTAATGTCTGCATACAGACTGATGTGGTTAAAAATATTTTCTCTGACCAGCTGGGAGTATTTACTAACAAAAAAAGAATGAAGAATTTCATATACGGAAGCTGCTTTACAGCCTGTGCCATAAACCCTAGGAGAAATGTCTAAAAGATTCCAAATGTTTCCAAAGTGAACACCTCAATATTTTCACTACTAAATTTGACTTTTTAGGACATTTTATTGCATGCAGATGGCTACTAAGTCGTAGCAGGGAAAAATTAGTGGTGTGCGTAAAAAGAGCTGAAGGCTTTTATTTCTGACCTAAAAGAAAGAAATATGGTTAAATTTAATTACACATGGACATGGTTGCCCAAAGTTTGTGATGATATTTGTGATCTTGACTTACACGTACAATGTCAATGAAAGGGGTGCATAAAAATTAAGAACTCAAACCGTTTTGGATTTAATTTTAAAACTAATTCAAGTTATTTTTGTTGTGAGGAAACACCTAGGAAGGCTTCTCACATGTGTTTTGCCGCTTCCAGTTTGCCCATAGGCAAAACATGTTGCCATACCCTTGTCAAATATTGTCTCTACCAACTTCTTGGCTGTGAATCTGTAGAGAATCAGAGAAAAAATGAAAAGAACGAATTTTGATGACACAACTGAGAAATCTTGCTAGCAAGCTGATGACACAGCCGATCCACACCGTAAGTGTTCCATTTCCTCAAAACATGCAAACATTTTGTTTGCAGGGCGACTGCCTAATTTTGTGGAGCACTTTTTTTTTGTGCAATATATAACTGCATGAAATTGATGAATATCCATATAAAAGAAAACAATATAAACAAAGTCTTCAACAATGGTCTTTCAAATTATTTTCAAGTGAGTTCTCAGTCTAGGGCTGGAAAGATTTTAAAGTGGGTAAAGTAGGCGCAAAGTAGGCTATCTAAAAGCAGGGGTAAAAACATGCGATTTATTTTTTTGAAGGTGTGTAGCATTTGGTACAGCGTCACAAAATGCAATGCGATACAGAAGAAATCGAACACTGATTACGGTACTAAGACAGACATATACATGTTATTCTATACTCAGCCAGTCTAATGACTAAAGCAATTACGAGAACCTGGCCCTTGATACCCAAAGAGTCATCCAGACATCAATTGCAAGCCAACCACTCACTCCACACCACGACAGACCATCAATTGCAAGCCAACCACTCATGACAGACCATCAATTGCAAGCCAACAACTCATGACAGACCATCAATTGCAAGCCAACTACTCATGACAGACCATCAATTGCAAGCCAACCACTCACTCCACACCATGATAGACCATCAATTGCAAGCCAACCACTCACTCCACACCATGACAAACCATCAATTGCAAGCCAACCACTCACTCCACACCATGATAGACCATCAATTGCAAGCCAACCACTCACTCCACACCATGATAGACCATCAATTGCAAGCCAACTACTCAATCCACACCATGATAGACCATCAATTGCAAGCCAACCACTCATGACAGACCATCACTTGCAAGCCAACCACTCACTCCACACCACAACAGACCATCAATTGCAAGCCAACCACTCCACACCATGACAGACCATCAAAACAGCTAGCCCACTAGTCAGCTAATGGATTAGAAAGCCAATCCACCAGACAGTGAAGGTTTACTTACTTGTACACTAGTTCATTAGTAGCATGCTCGTCAAAACCGTAATCAAAGTGGAAAGTCTGGTTCTCCAGGTACTTTGTCAGGTCAACTTTCAATTTAGGTTCGTGAACTATGACAGAATCCTTGGATGGTATTGTCACAACATCAACATCTCGCTTGCCGACTTCTAAAACAGAACCGAACAAAATCACACTGATCAATGAGCGCCTTACAATGGAAACCAAACTAAATATACAAGCTAGACGTTGTACAAAAGAGAATGACCTGGAATATATTAATGATTAAGCAATTAAAAGACGCAATTTTATCCTGGACAAATCTGAAATCATGCCTGAGCAGAAGCCTGAAATCAAGTGACAAATTATCCTGATATTCCCTGACAGAAACGAGAAGTTGGAAATAAGACAAGTTACATGCGAACAGTAAATTTTGATGAAGAAAACTGGACAGAATTAACAACATTTTCCCCTTTCTGAAATGCAATTATCTCTTGATAAATATCTTAAATATTTCAGCATTCAAATACACAAGAGTGACCTTTTAACTCACAGGGTCATAATAATCTATCCCTAAAATCAATTGCACCATAAATCCCCCTTCCCAATTCAAATCTACGGATACTGTCACAATGACCAAGGAGAGTGTTCAAGCGGAAAAGTCACGTGCTCTAGAAGAGGTCAAAGTTCACCTTTTTTATTAAGTGGCCTCTTCCTGACGCACACGGTGATTTGATGGTCCTCTACCTGTCAGTAAAGCAAGTATACATAAGTAACAAGCTGAACGCATTCCATGTCAGTGACATGCACATGAATCCCTTTGACTAGAGTTTGCCCTTCCTAAACAATGTTGAAAGAATTTGTGCCTAAATTTAAAATTTTTAACATTTGACAAAACTTTGGCAGGATTCTAATGTGCAAGACAGTGGCAAATGTTGAATGACTCAACCTTTTAACATGAAGAATTTTAACCTCTTCGCACCGGGACGCAGCTAGAGCCGCCATAAAAATTGAGATCCTCAGCCCCCTTTTCAGCTATTATTCTTGGCCCACGCTCGAGCAAACACGGTGAAAGAAGGCAAACCCTGGCTCTTGTATATATGGTGATTGGTCTTTGTGTGTAGCCCAGAAATGGAAAGAC